CCATGCCCAGCTAATGTTTTGTATTTTTTAGTAGAGATGGGGTTTCACCATGTTGACCAGGATGGTCTTGATCTTTTGACCTCGTGATCCACCCGCCTTGGCCTCCCAAAGTGCTGGGATTACAGGCTTGAGCCACCGCGCCTGGCGGGAATCTAATTCTTATAAAAACTGTGAACTCTTATTCTTTTTTTTTTTTGAGACAGAGTTTTGCTCTTGTTGCCCAGGCTGGAGTGTGATGGTATGATCTCGGCTCACTGTAACTTCTGCCTCCCGGGTTCAAGCAATTCTCCCGCCTCAGCCTCCCAAGTATACACCACTACCCCTGGCTAATTTTGTATTTTTAGTAGAGATGGGGTTTCTTCATGTTGGCCAGGCTGATCTCAAACACCTGACCTCAAGTGATCCACCCTCCCTGGCCTCCCAGAGTGCTGGGATTACAGGCATGAGCCACCGTGCCCAGCCCCAACCCTCATTCTTGAAAAGCACATGTATACCTTCAATTTGATACAATGGGTTATTAGAAAAGTAAACCCCTTTCCACTTGGAGGAGGTAGGGGGGAAGAAATAGCAAACCCTGAAGCTCTGTTTTATTCTTCCCAGCTGTACCCAAGGTCAAGCTGCTGTGTGGGGCAGATTTACTGGAGTCCTTTGCTGTTCCCAATTTGTGGAAGAGTGAAGACATCACCCAAATCGTGGCTGACTATGGGCTCATATGTGTTACTCGGGCTGGAAGTGATGTTCAGAAATTTATCTATGAATCGGATGTGCTGTGGAAACACCGGAGCAACATTCATGTGGTGAATGAATGGATCACTAATGACATCTCATCCACAAAAATCCGGAGAGCCCTCAGAAGGGGCCAGAGCATTCGCTACTTGGTACCAGATCTTGTCCAAGAATACATTGAAAATCATAATTTGTACAGCTCCGAGAGTGAAGACAGGAATGCTGGGGTCATCCTGGCCCCTTTGCAGAGAATCACTGCAGAAGCTAAGACATGAGAATTCTACAACATGATATTTTAGACTTCCTGTTTGGGGATCTGAAATAATCTGGGCGTTAGTAACTGGGGAAGGAAGTTGTGATCTGTTGCCTAAACTAAAGCTTAAGTTGAGTAAAAACTGGCCTGGTGTGGTGGCTCACGCCTATATTCCCAGCACTTTGGGAGGCCAAGGCAGGCAGATCACAAGGTCAAGAGATCGAGACTGTCCTGGCCAACATGGTGAAACCCTGTCTTTACTAAAAATACAGAAATTAGCTGGGCATGGTGGTGCACACCTGTAGTCCCAGCTACTCGGGAGGCTGAGGCAGGAGAACTGTTTGAACCCAGGAGGCAGAAGTTGCAGTGAGCCGAGATCGCACCACTGCGCTCCAGCCTGGCAACAGGGCAAGACTGTCTCAAAAAAAAAAAAAAGTTTAGTAAAAATCAATGGTAAGTTAAAATAAGAGTTTTTTTATTCTTTTTATCAGATGTTGCTAAGATGAATGTTTTCCTTATGGTCTTATTGTAATCTCTATCTTTAAAACATTAAGACAAGAAATTAGTAGCACACAAAAACCAGAAGTGTTTTCAGTGAAACTAGCTGCAAATAAGTTAAAAAGTCCATCCCAGCTCTACCATATAAAAGAAGCAAAATGTGAAAAGCAAACATTCATTTAAAATTCTAACTTTGGGCCGGGCGCGGTGGCTCAAGCCTGTAATCCCAGCACTTTGGGAGGCCGAGGCGGGTGGATCACGAGGTCAAGAGATCGAGACCATCCTGGT